TAAATCATATTAAACACGTGTGATCTGATCATGTAAAGAAAATAATTTAAATATCGTTTTTTCAACATTAACCTTAATGCATGTGCGTGCGTGTGCTCGCGTGTGCGAATCAGCTGTCGCGTGTACGTCCTACAATGTGTCCAGGTTGGCTCATGAACGCGCACGGCCAACAGCTGTTGTTCCAGGTGCTTGAAGTCGCGTTCACGTGAATAACACCGGAAACCCGGCTAGTCTGGCTTCAAAATAAAACGATAGATATTTGTTTAGGGATTAATAAGGATTAATTATGTCTATTATAAAGATGTTTAGATTTCATGAGGAGCTGTTTATTCAGATTGATGATGATGCTGGATTCCTAAATCAATCATTACTCTGTGTACAAACATGTCAGTATTTATTCCAGTACTACTGACACCGTGTACTTCACAGAAACAGATTTTATTTAGAAAGTGCACACAGGAAGTGGTTTTTTATTTTGAAACCTTGACGGTGTCGGAGCATCCTGACGTCTCCTCTGAGCTCAAAGTGAAAACGTCCGATTCTTCCTCCTCTTCCTCCTCTTCCTCACCTTCCTCCTCTTCATCACAGCATCAGGCCTTCGTCGCCTGCACAGACTTTTATTTTGATGATCTGTCTTCTCTTCCGCCCCTCCGGTCTCGTTCCACCTGGATGTCTTTGTCACCGATGGACTCCTCCGTCCTCAGCATCAGCACCGGAGGGCCGGCGGGCCAGGCAGCACGGCCGGGATTCAACCAGCACACATAGCAGCTCTCTGCACTGTGAGTATCCAGCATCGAAACATCCCATAATAACAGTGACAGCAGACCAGCAGGAGGCGCTGTGAGGAGGAGGAGGAGGAGGAGGAGGAGGCTGCAGCTCTGGCTCCTTGTGAGGACATCAGGTCCGTCAGAGGGCTCATCACAAATATCCATTCATCAATAATCCATTCATCCCTTCATCCATTCATCCATTCATCAGTGAGGATCCATTCAAATATTTACCGATGTGACGACAACATGTTGGGGGCGGGGTCATCTGATGGTTTGACCCCGCCCCTCTAAGCAAACATGAGAACCATAAAGAATCAGTCACGTTAAACACGAGATGTGACGTGTTTTTAAAGAAGCTGCTGTTTCACATCATGTGTGTTTACAATCATGTTAGCATGTTAGCATGTAAACTTCTTTGAGGCTCAGCTTCACGCTAACCTGCTCCATGCTAACGCGAGTTTAAATCACAGACCGTAAATAACAAACTCACCAAATGTTCATCCTGAGGGGAAACTGAATCTTATGGTTGGTTTTAATTTATTTTGTGCGTCTTATAGTGTTTATTGTCTTTTCGATTATCTCCTGAGTATTTGTGTATATTTAGTTATTTGTGTATATTTAGTTATTTTGTGTATATTTAGTTATTTGTGTATATTTTGTTATTTGTGTATATTTTGTGTATATTTAGTTATTTGTGTATATTTTGTGTATATTTTGTTATTTGTGTATATTTTGTTATTTGTGTATATTGAGTTATTTGTGTATATTTTGTGTATATTGAGTTATTTGTGTATATTTGGTTGTTAGTGTTGATTCAGTCCTTCGGACAGATTAGCGTCTCTGTGCTTTGCTTGTGTGTGTTTGTGGTTGGTTTAGTTTGTTGGTCAGTTTCATTCACTTCTGACAGTTTGTGTTTCTTCTCTCTCAGTCTGAGGAATCACTCGCCAGACTGAGCGGCCTAAACTGACCTCTGACCTCTGACTCATCGTAATCGAGCATCGTCATGACGAAGCGGAAAGTCGACGGCACCGACTGATGAAGCTGGAACTGAAATCTGCTGAGGAGGAGGAGGAAGCTGTGAGACGCTGAACGAGAACAAGGTTTGGACAAAGAGGATGAGACGTGTTGAGTCTCACACGTCTCTGATACTTTGACTCTGAAAACCTGGAAGAGTCCGAACGTTTCCAACCAAAACTCTGAGACTTCTCTGATGATGTAGAAGATGTAGAAGAAGAAGAAGAAGAAGAAGACAGCCGTGACGATGTTGACGCCTGCACAATAATCCAGCTGTGGAACGACCATGATTGTCTCTGACTGACACAACATCTGTACCAGATCAAACTCTTTTGTGAATGTGAAGTAAAAACACGATTCAGACTCAGACAGCAAATACGATTGTTTCACTTCAAAAGACGACGATTCAAAGATTAAATCGACTGAAGTTTGATCCTAAGAAGTTGAATTTTCTGATCGAGCTGCTGATCTGAGACCTCAGGAGGCCGGACGTCAGGATGACACACCTCCACGCCGGCCTCAGCTCGGAGACGACGGAGAAAGCTCGTTTAGAGCTGAATGAAAACCCCGACACTCTGCACCAGGACATCCAGCAGGTAGACAACCAACATCTGTTAGTTCACGTTTCAAACTTCAATCACAGAAAATCAATAAGATCATCAATCTGGAAAACGTGCGTCACCACCGACACGTCACCATGGTTACAATCTGCTCCTCTGCTTTTAAGAAATATCCAGAGAAGTGTATAAGAGTTCAGTTCATCTTTTTATCCAACTGCACATTTGTGAGAAAACGAGTCATAATCAAACACTGAGTTCTAGAGTTGTGTGACGTCACACTGACCTTTGACCTTTTGCCCCAGATTCCTCATCATGAGGCCGTAAAGTCACAGTTCAGTTCTCACGCAACAACACGAAGGTTTGAAAACTACGAATCAGCAGCAGATTAAAAGAAGCTCCGAGAGAACAAACCTCTTCTGGACCACAATCCTGGATCCACTCGTTTATCTGCTCTGACGTTTTCATTCCTTCCACAAAATATCAGAAAAATCAGTTCAGTAGTTTTTACTTACGAACAGATGAACGAACTTGTATCGTCTTCTTCCGTCTTCTGTCCTCTTATCTCCGTCCTCTTATCTCCGTCCTCTTATCTCCGTCCTCTTATCTCCGTCCTCTTCCCGTCCAGGTGCGGGACATGATCGTGACGCGGCCGGACATCGGTTTCCTGCGGACGGACGACGACTTCATCCTCCGCTTCCTGAGGGCCCGAAAGTTTGACCAGACGGAGACGTTCCGACTGTTGGCTCAGTACTTCCAGTTCAGGCAGCAGAACCTGGACATGTTCCAGAGCTTCAAGGTAACATGTCAGGTCATCACAACACGCTCCGAACACGGGACGCAGCGTTTCTTCACGTGACGCAATATTTTAACTTCATGTCTGTGTCATCGTTGTTATTTACTGGGATTTGATTGGTTCCAACATGTGTGTGTGTGTGTGTGTGTGTGTGTGTGTGCGTCTCAGGTGGATGACTCTGGTATTAAGCGAGCGTTGATGGACGGTTTCCCTGGTGTGTTGGAGACTCCAGACCAACATGGTCGAAAAATCCTGATCCTGTTCGCCTCCAACTGGGACCAGAGCAGGTAACACACACACACACACACACACACACACACACACACACACACACACACACACACACACACTGTCCTCTCATTGATTAAAACACAGAGCTGTATTTAAGGTGTGACGGAGCGTCTCTCTCTCTTATCGACCGTCCGTCAGGAACTCGTTCATCGACATCCTGCGAGCGATTCTTCTCTCGCTGGAGGTTCTGATTGAAAACCCCGAGCTCCAGATCAACGGCTTCGTCCTCATCATCGACTGGAGCAACTTCTCCTTCAAACAGGCGTCCAAGCTCACGCCCAACATCCTCAAACTCGCCATCGAAGGACTGCAGGTAGAAACACCACGAGATGAAGGAGTTCACATTTATTATCTCCATCGTAGAAACCAAGATGACCTCTGACCTCTGGCCGGTGTGTGACCTCTGACCTCTGGCCGGTGTGTGACCTCTGACCTCTGGTCGTCACTGACGAGTTCTCTCTTCATCCTCAGGACAGTTTTCCTGCTCGTTTTGGAGGAATCCACTTTGTGAATCAGCCGTGGTACATCCACGCCATGTACACCATCATCAAACCCTTCCTCAAAGACAAGACCAGGAAACGGGTGAAAACTCTTTTTTCCTTTTCTTCCTGTTTTGTCTTTTTCTCTTCTTCCTCTGATCTCTTCTTTGTCTCCTCCTCTTCCTCAGATCTTCCTCCACGGTAACAACCTGAACTCGCTGCACCAGCTCATCCAGCCTGAGTGTCTGCCATCAGAGTTCGGTGGGTCGATGCCGCCGTACGACATGGGCATCTGGGCACGAACGCTGCTGGGCCCCGACTACAACGACGAGACGGAGTACACGCTGACGTACGACGCTCTGCACGTCAGGGAGAACTGTGGAGGAGGAGGAGGAGGAGGAGACAAGGAGATGATGAAGAGGTGAAAACATTTAGAGAGGGAGGAGAGAGAGAGGAGAGAGAGAGAGGGAGGAGAGCTGCCCCCTGCTGGCACTCTGCTGTAACATGTTTCTCTGCTGCAGGTCTCAGTCGGCGGTGGAACCAGGAACTCTCCGACAGAACGACAGAGAGACCAACACACCACTGCTGGCCCTGGACTGAACACACACACACACACACACACACACACACACACACACACACACACACACACACAC